GAATAAATGTTGAAAAGAAAGAGAGAGAAAAGAAAAAAGAAGGGACAGTTCCCCCCAGAGAAGCTTCTTGGGACCACCTCTGGTCAGAACAGAACTTGAACTTTTACCTGTCTTCTCCATCCACAGCCCTCCCCGCTCCAGTCATCGGCAAAGCCCAGCCCTGGAGGAGTGCCTTGCTGACCCTGCACACTCCCGTGGGCCAGAGCTCCTGGCTGTGGCGGTGACTGCACGTCGTCTTCAGATGAGACCCGCAAGGGCTACCCGCCCAAGAGCAGCTGCAGGAGAAGGTTTATCTTTGCATCTGGAAGGAGGAAACAGGTGGGAAGATGAGTTGGGATGAATGGCCGAGGGCTGGGGCTCTGCCTGGGCTTCCCCAGCAGCTGAGGAATCCTCCCTGGCCTTCCTCCGGCACCCATTGATCATACAAAAACAAGACCTACCCCACTGCTTTCTCTGAGTTACTGAGGCAATCAAAAAACCATGAGTGTGCTTTGAAAAAAAAAAAAAAAACCACATTATTCAAGTCTAAAGTGCTGTTCTTACCTGTTATGAAAAAAAAAATTGTGGGGCCCAACATTGAGAAATCGTTGGTTAAGCCTCCACTTGCAATATTCCATATGGAGACCAGTTCGAGCCCAAGCTGCTTCACTTCTAATCCAGCTCCCTGCTAAGGCACCAGGGGAAGCTGTGCAGGATGGTCCCAGTGCTTGGCCAGTGTGCACACAGGCGAAAGCCAAAAGAAGCTCCAAGCTCCTGGCTTCAGCCTCACGCAAACCTGGCCGTGGCAGCCATTTGGGGAGTAAACCAGCAAATGGGAGATTCTGTGTTTGTGTGTGTCTCCTCCTCGCTCCATAACTCTGCCTTTCGAATTAAAACAAAACAAAACAAAAAACTTTTTCTAAAAATTGTGGGGACCATCAGGATTCAAACAAAAAAAAAAAAGATTTAAAAAAATATTTATTTAGTTTTTATTAGAAATGCAGTTACAGAGAGAGAAAGAGGATCTTCCCTCTACTGATTCACTCCCCAAAAGGCTGTAACAGCCAGAGCTGAGCTGATCCGAAGCCAGGAGCCAGGAAGTTCTTCCAGGTCTCTCATGCAGTTCCAAGAGACCCAAGGTCTTGAACCATCCTCTGCAGTGTCCCCAGATCAAAACAAAGAGCTGGATTCAAGATGAAACAGTTGGCCTCAAATCAGTGCCCATCTGGGATCTGATGCACCGTGGCACCAGCCCTACCGAAAGGATTTTTAAGTGTTACAATCAAGAAATAAAGGGCCCGACATGGTAGCCTAGTGGCTACAATCCTCTTCTTGCATGCACCAGGATTCCATATGGATGCTGATTCATAGCTGGGCTGTCCCACTTCCCTTCTGGCTCTCTGCTTGTGGCCTGGAGAAACAGTGGGGGATGGCTCAAAGCCTTGGGACTGCACCTGCACCCCTGTGGGAGATCCAGAAGAAACTCCTGGCTCCTGGCTTCAGATCAACTCAGCTCCAGCTGTTGTGGCCACTTGGGGAGCGAACCAGTAGATGGAAGATCTTTCTCTCTCCTCTCTGTAAAACTGATCCTCCAATTTAAAAAAAAAAAAAGAAGAAGAAGAAGAAGAGCAATTGAGAAATAAAGTCAAGTGTCCGAGGTTGGCCACACAGTGTGGACGGCCTAGCAAGCACAGCTGGTTCTGTATCTGCGAACTCTCTCTCATCATATCATATTCTTCCAAGATTAGGGAGCACCATAAGAGAGCCCCAGTCCGTCCGCTCTGACTCACGCTGCCCCAGGGGCCAGCAGCGACTGGGTCTCGGCAGTCACGTCGCACTTGGCTAGTGATTGGCCTAGGGGTGTCTGGAGTGTCTCAGTTCTGGTCAATGAGGAATAAGGGACAATCTGACTTCTCTGTGCTGATCCAAAAAAAAACCCAAAAAAACAATATAAGATGAGAAAAGCCTGCGATCCCTGCAGTCACCTTTCCTATGGCACAAGGACATGATGCCTGAAGGGGGGCAGCCTGGATGGGGCAACGGGGAGGAAATCAGCAAGGAGAGCAGGGCGAGAGCCGATCAGAAGGAGCAGGATTCTTGAGGATGCCACTGAGCCAGCGCCCCACTCACCCCAGGCTCCTGGGTAGCAGAGATAACTAAATGTCGCTCATGCTTAAGCCACTGCTGCTGGCAGCCCATTGCCTATGCAAATTGTACTGTCTCTAAGGAATGGAACTCGGCAATCTATTTTTTATTTTGAATACATAGGCCCTTTGATGCACAATTCTACTTATCAAAATGTCTCCCATAGACAGACCCACACAGTGCTCAAATAATTATATTTAAATGTATGAATTACAATATTATGTACCTAACAATATGGTTAGAGAGATTATGGTGCCTGCAGACCATGGAATACAGACCGCCTTGAAAAGCACAGCAGCTCTCTGTATACCAGTAAGAAATTATATTCTAGATACAGCGACTGAGCGAGGTGAGGTGAATAATGATCCACGTTACGTGGCAGACGCACGGAGTTCTGGCATGCCATTTTCTCTTGTCAGTGCATCAGGGAGACGTGAGAATTTCCCAAATAAACAACTTACAGACAAAGGAGCAGGGTCAGTGCAGGGGGAAAGCATGACATCATTCACATTGTTTGTTTTGATACTTTCTAATATAAATATTTTTTCCATTTTAATCTGAAAATCGAAGAGAGAGAGACACAGAGAGATCTTTTATCCACTGATTCACTGCCCCACTGCCTGCAGCTGCTAGAACTGGGCCAGGTCAGTCAGGAACCTGGAACTCAACCCAGGTATCCTGTGCGGGTGGAGGGGACCCACGAGAGTGTGCAAGTCAGTGGGAAGCTGGATCAGAACTGCAGGGGCTGGGCCTCCCACACAGGATGCCAGTGTGCCAAGCAGCTCTTAACTGCTGCCCCAAATAAAGATGCGCTTTTAAAGATGCGTTTAATCTACTTGAAATCAACCTTACAGAGAGGAAGAGGGAGCTCTCCCATCTGTTGACTCACTCCCCAAATGGCCACAATGGCTGGAGCTGAGCTGATCCGAAGCTGGCAGCCAGGAGCTTCTTCTGGATCTCCCACGTGGGTATTGGGCCCCAAGGCCTTGGACTTTCCAAGGCCATTAGTAGGGAGCTATTCAGATCAGGCGTTGGCCAGCTGGAGTGCTAGTGCTGCAGGCATAGGAGTGTTGTACCACGCTATTGTGCCGGCCCCAAATGCACACATTTTTGAAAGACAGAAGAATGTTTTCTGAAGGACAGGGCAGAGACCGCTGCTGATGACTCGGCTGCTCCTGGGGAGAGGAGGATATGGGGAGGACGTTGTTTCCTTTGGCTTTTTAAACTCTGTCATTTATGATTTATTTTAAAAATAAAACCAGATTTTAAAAATCAACTGAATGCAAAAAATAGGTACATGATGGATGGTCAGAGAGGCAGCCTGTGTCCTCACAATGAGGTCTCAGGTGCTGCTGGAGTTCAAGCAGTCACCCCAGGTCCCAGTCCACCAGGAGACGCCCAAGGGAGACAATGCAGGACAGGCCAGCCCTGCAAATATGCGCTGCCTTTTGTTTGGAGCAAACTTACAGAACTACCGGGCTGAAGGAGACCTTGGTTACATTCTGCATCAGCACCAAGTGAGCACTACAGCCGGATGTGAATGACAAGACGAACCCACAGAGAATACAAGACTTTGTTTAAAAATCATTCCAGGAGCACAGTCGGCCACTTCACCTGCTGCACAACAACACCGGCCCCTAAGAATGTATACAAATGAAATACTTTGTGCTAGGCACTGGACTTGAACTAAGGATAGCAGTGAGCAAGGCAGACCTTGACTGCTGCCAGGTGCCGCTGCCTCCATGCCACCACACAGTGCAGGAGTATTTCCCTATTTTTTAAAAAATCAACTCCTAGTGGCAATGGGTTTAGCAGAATCCCACACAGTGACACAGCAGCAATCAGCTCCACCATGTTGTGGGGGTCCTAGGGGATCCGTGTGCGTGGCATCGGCAAGTGACCAGAAATCGGCAAGTGGGTGGCCACTTGGTACAACCCACGAAGGCCAGCTGAGGAAGGGGAGTTGACGGGAAGGGCAACCAGGAAGGGCTTCCTTGGTGACCTGTCGTGTCATGGCGAGATTCCACCAGGATAGGGGATGGTCAACAGCAGAGGGACACACGGGACAAAGGCCAGGAGCAACCAACTGCCGGAGTGTGTGTTCCCTGCATCTGAGGTTGGCGCACATTTTCTCCAAAGCGCCAGGCAGTGAACATTTTCATGGAGGATGACATTGATACCGAAGAGGCAAACGCCCATCAATTTTTCCTTGATCAGCTTCACAACTGAGAGACAGTGAAATGTACATTTCCTGTCATTTCCAAGTCAGAACTGTTCCCTCCGGAGCCCTAACTGATTGGCTCTCCCGTGAGCTGGGCAGGTGGTACCAGGCCAGGTGCTGGCCACATTCGGTTCACCGGACTCCTCCTTTGCGCTGCTCTGCTAGAGGGATGGCAATGGCTACAAAGGGAAGCACCAAGTGCGCAGTACAGGCCGTGGAGGCAGGCTCCTTACACCCAGGAGATGGATGTGTGTCCCCCGAGGACCCCGCGCTCCCTGAGCCCAGCAGCCTGCCCCCTGGGCCTCTGGCGCTTAGCACCACTCACAACACTGTTCCATGGGGTGATCCAGGTGCCACCATCATGCGGGAGCCTCTGCCAACCGGACTTCGAGAGTTTCTCGGCACTGCCGGCTGCCCCAAGAGGCACTCACAGGTGTGCACGGGGTTCCTGACATGTCCGTGCCAGCCCCCACGGCAAAACCTGGTGAGGCACGTACCACCGCCCCAGGCCCTGTAGCAGCCGTCCTGAGCCGACGCTGGCCCGCGGGGTGGGGCGGGAGTTGGCGCTGGGGATGCCCCGAGGCCTGCCGGGCAGTTGCGCAAGCTGCGCTGGGCCGGCTATAAGAGGGGAGGGCAGGCATGGAACCCTGGAGCAGTCCCGGCGCCAGCAGCTGCGAGGTAAGGCTCCCTCATGCGCGCCCTTCTCGCTTGGTGGCCACAAGCTCCCCCACCAGGCTCTAGGTGCCCGGGAAACTGAGGCAGGAGGCAGAGGAGGGCCAGACGTCTCGGTTGCCGACTATGGTGGCGTTGCGCGGAGTTCCAGCCAGAGAGGTAGAGAGGAAGAGAGCAGGCAGCCGCGATCTGGGGGCGTTGCATTCGTGTCTGGGCTGTGTCCTGGAAAAGCAAGCTTTGGTCCTGGGAGAGCTGGCCAGGACCCCAGGGAACGGTTTGGTCTGCAGAACTGGGCAGCTTTGGAGATTGCTCTAATCACTGGCCAGGGATCAGGGTGCCCTCCTTACCTCATCAGGAAGGGATCAGTGCAGAGGGCACGGGTGGCAGTTCCTGGGGCTAGGGCAGAGTCTGGCTCTTGGGCACATTCCCAGCCAGGGTGCTGATCTGTAAAGGAGGGACCCTCAGCCGAAGAAGCCAAGGGCTGGGCTGGAGTAAAAGTGGGCAGACATGCTGTCCGGAAGGGTCTGAATTTCCGTGCAGGATCTCATACCTTCTGTCCTCCAGCCAGGCACAGTGGCCTTCCTCAGGGTGGACACACAGGGGTGAGGTCATGGGGGAGTCCTCTGCATGGTGCCACCTGTTAGTGCATTGCTAGCTGGGATAGCTACACCCATCCTGCGGGCTGGTGACCTCCAGCCAAGACCTCAGAGGTGTTTCTTCTGCCACCGCCTCCCCCTACCCTTGCCTTTCTCCCCTGCAGGCAGGGTTGGGATTTCCTTGTGGACATGGCCACCTTCCCACTCCTGTCTGCAGCTCAAGGCTGGTGACACTTCAGGACCATGCACAGTCAGCATGATCTCCAGCTGCCCTTGAACGGAGCAACAGGGCTGAGGCGGGGCACCCTGGCAGGTGTAGTTCCCGTGATTTTGTAGAGCTCTGAGGCAGGCAGGAGGCAGTGCGATGGGGGAGAGGGAGTGTGCTCCCATCCAAGTACTAACCGGGCCCAACCTTGCTTAGCTTCTGAGATCAGACAAGATTGGGTGCGTTCAGCATGGTATGGCCATAGACGAGTGTTCTCAATGTCTTTCCTGAGCCTAAGTGACGAGCAGAGGTTCTCGATGCTTCTGGATGCCCCTTAGCATCACACAGGCTACACAGTCTGTTCCTCTGGTCATGAGAGCAGTCACGTAATAGGAACCGACTTCAGGTCCTCTTTCTCACGCAGTGCAGGTCACTGGGTATGTTCCATGTTGGCCCAACGAGCAGCCCTGTCATGTTTTCTGAATCTTAGGCCCAAAAATAACTTTCTCAGTATCTGGGGGAAATATCTTCCTCCCCCCAACTCTGTTCCAGGAAATGCCTCCAAGTGCCCAGAGCAGAGCCAGGGAAATTGCAATGAATTCCTGCCCGGCAGCCCCAAGGCAGATGCCTCGCATGTCTCGAGTGGCCCAGACTGGGTACGGAGGTGGCTGCCTGAGAACCCTAGGTCATAGTCCTGCCCCAGAGCCTAAACGCTCCCCATAAAGGGGATGGGAGAGACAGGAAGCAGGAAGGGGCAGCAGAAAGGTGGAATGTGGTGGGAGCGTGCATCCATGAGCAGCATCTTGGGGGCTGAGAACAGACACCAGTTCTCCAACTGCCAGTCAGTCAGGTCATAGCTGAGGCTACAGTTCCAGCGGCTGTGGCTCCTCATTGGGCCCATGGGCAGGGGCGTGTCTAAGTCTTCCTTGTTCATACATGGGGCATCAGAAGAACAGAGGGAGACGGTTTTTTTGCTTGAGATTCCTTGCACTTCGCCCCCGTGTAACATGCAGGCACACTGTATAAAAGGCCATGGAAGCCAATTTAGAATCTGGGGAATCTTTATTAGCCAATTGGCGATTTCCCATACTCAGAGCAGGTCTGAAGGAGGTAGCCCTGAGCTGTTGGGCCAGTGAGCTGGTGGCCTTTGTGCTGGCAGGCAAGCAGGCAAGGATATAGAAGCTACAAAAATAGGGTAAAGCCAAGATGAGCAACTCTATAGTTATAGTTACAGTTTAACTACTTGGAAATTGGCTTTACTTTTCATGGGGCTCAGTCCCCAGGACTTGGTTCCTCCTTAGAGGTCAGTCTAATCCGACTGGTGACCATTGGATGCACTCACTCTGCCATAATCACTTCTCAGGGACTATGTGCTACTGTCTGCAGTGCATTTGGTCAGTGTTCTGCAAGTGGAGCATTCATGGCGACACTTCATGGACATCCTAGGTGGAGTTTCCATCTGTGCACACTTGCTCAGGGCTTCCTCCACTGCCGCGGTGCCAAGGGGGGGAAGTGGAGCCAGGAGGACAGAGCAGTCATCTCCGAGTGCCACAGCAGAACCAGGCTCTTGAGTGGGTCCATGACAAGGGGCTCCCGGCAGGGACACTGGAGCAGAGATCAGCAGCCTAAGGGGAAGCTGAGCCCATGTGGGTGCCGGGAAGCAGCTCAAGTTTCCCGAGAAGATCTGGATGTGAAAGGGTTTCTGTCCACATCAAGACAGCTTTTTAAGTTTATGGGTGTTTGGGGGTTATTGGTTTTGGTTTTGGTGTGGCTTAGTCTCAGTCATCCAGCCTTTCTGTCCATGATACAGAGACCTACTGGGCTTATTAGCTGAAGTGGCTTCCTTATTAGAAAAGCAGTTGAGTTGAGGGGTGGGCCTTTGAAGCCACAGTTATCATTGCCTGGGATGTCCACATTCTATAGTGGAGTTCAGGTTCATGTTCGTGTTCCCCTGCTCTTGGTTTGTGCATCCTTGAAGACAGCGGATAGGATGGCTCAAATATTTGGGTCCCTAACCACCCAGAGGCAAGCCTGGTTGCACTTCCAGAATCCTGGTTTCAGCCTCATCTGGCCCTCAAAACTTTGAGCATTTAGGGAGTATTGGTAGATCTTTCTTCCTCACTCTCTTTCTCCCACTATCTCTCTGATTTTCTGTTTCTGCCTTTTCAAATAAATGAAGGGGGAAAAAAGAGAGAGAGAGAGAGAGAAGCAACTTCTTTGGAATTCCGGGCCAAAATGAATTCTAGAATGTGACCAAGATGGGAGCAGGTGAAGCACCATAGAGATAGATTAATGTGGTGAGCCCATGAGGACCAGAGATGGGAACTGTTTCATTTATTCATTCAACACCAATTTAAAACACCTGCTGCAGGTCATAGTCACTGAGATAGGGACAGGCGTCGGAATCGGCCCTGACACTGTGCCTGGGAGGCTGGCTACAGCCTTCAATTCCCCAACACTAAAAACTGATCAGAGTTGGCATGGGAGTTGGAATCTATTTACTGCCCTCAATGGAATCAGTTCTCAGGATAGCTTCTGATGAACAGGAAGACTCTCACGCCATACTCACTCCCTGGCTACCAGTAAGAGCGGGTGGTCTTTTGGATGCTGCTTCAGGTTACAAAGATGAGGAGGTCTGCTCATGCTAGCTCAGTGAGAGAGGCTTTTTATTTCTTGACACATGTTTCTTTTAGAGCTATTTCTATTTCCAAACAGCAGAAATATGTGTGTATATACAAAATCAGAAAGTCAAGAGCTGTTCAAGTAAATATTTTGAAAATTTGGAGGAAAAAGATTGGGGGAAATGAAATATAAAGAGAATTTCCTCTTGGTGCAAAAAAGTTTGAAATCCATACACAGTTTTTTCATAATATGAATTTTCTGCAAACTTTTTGAAATATCCTGGGATGCATGGATTTCAAAGGTTGCTTTTCTTTCTTTTTAATCAAAATAAGCCTATCTCTTCATTCCAGTTTCCATGAACTTAAAATACTCGTTTATTTATTATTTAGAAAGTAGAGACAGAACTTCTCCCAAATGCCTGCAACAGGCAGGGTTGGGCCGGGCTGAGGCTAAGAGCCTGCTCAATCGGGTCCCCACTGTGTGTGTTAGGGACCAAGCACTGCAGCCATCTCTGCTGCCTCCTGGGATACACTCTAGCAGGAATCTGAATCAGAAGTGGAGAAGGCAGGACTCCACTCAGGTCCTCTGACATGGGACTCCACTGTGCCCAACACCCGTCCCTCCACAGACTCTTAGACATTCTCTTGTAAGTGGAAGCAAGTGTGTTGCAATGGATTCTGGGGAGGTGAGCCTGTCTGGGAGAGTGAGAAGGCAGAGGCGGGGCAGAGTCCTGTCTGCACCTGCTGGGCAGTGAAGGAAATGGAAATTGTCTAAGGCTGAGGAAAGGGGCAGTGCCCGCCAGCCAGGACCCAGGTGATGTCAGAAAGCAGGAAGCTGGCAGGGTGGCCAGTGCCTCTCTGGGTTGCAGCCTCATATGTGTGACCCTGTTGCATTATCCAGGTAGTCACTGGTCAGTCTCTCTTTCTCCATCAAACCCATGACAAGGGCAATCTCAGGGGTTGGGGGGAGTAGCAGGGCATCAATGGAAGAAGGACAGCTGGGGAGGAGTGGCCCGGGGTGGATGGAGAAAGTGGGGGCCACATGGCGGGGGTGGTGTGGGCTGCCCTCTTGGGGTGAATGTTGCACTTGTCATTTTAGACGCACTTCAGTGGCTCCCGGGAGAAGGGAGGGAGAAGGATGTTGCACTAACTTCTCAGCAGGTCTTTTAGTTCTTAGCAAATGACAGTTTCTCCATGTTCAAAACCATGGTGGAAGCTTCTGGAAAAGAAAGCCTTGTTTCTGAGTCTGAGGCAGACAGCAACCTTTCTCCTCATCCAACTGTGGCCCCAGCATTTGTCTGCAGCCCTTTCCTTGGGTGGAGACTCCCTACTTCCCCGACTGGGTCCCACCACACTCACCCCTCAGCCTGTCCCCAAGCCTCTCCCAGTCGGTGTCTCCATCCTCCTGATCACTTGGGCTGGAAGCACCTGCTCCCCAGACCCCTGCAGGAAGCGCAGGCTCTCTCCCTGGTGCTCACAGCTCCTCCCTTCCCTGCTGCCATCACACCCTTTTTCTACTGCATGCCCGTGTCTCCTCAACCCATGGGGCTTTCCAGTCTGCTACCTGCCCCCTCCACCCTCACAAACCCAATTACTACCCATTCTCAGGGCCTTTGGAAATGCTATCTCTTCTATATTGCCTTGCTGTTGCATCACTGGAAATAAAGGCTAAGAGCTAACATGTACGGAGCCAGACACAGAGTCAGCACTTCTCATACGTTATCCCATTCCCGCCACCTAACAAGTGTAGATGAGTTGTCTTGTCTGCCAGGGTGTGTTAGCTCAGCCAGCACTAAGTATGGCTGGCTTTAGCAGAGTTCCAGGGAATTAGCAGCTCACATGAGGTGGAGGCTATGTTTCAGTCAAACAGCTTACACACCTAGAGATTGAGGTGGTGGGGGAACCCAAAGGCCAGGAACTTCCTGAGGCAGGGTGTTTGATGTCATAGTCCAAGATGGCACCATGCATGGAGAAAGAGATGAAAATGAAGAGGCACAGATACACAGCAGCGTCCCGAGCGGCTTATATTGCATTGGCCAGAGGCCAGGACCCAGCTGTATCTGGTTGCTAGGAAGCTGGAAATACAGTGGCCCTCTGGTGGCCCTTCCCCCGGCTGGGGACTTCCTGTTACATGGAGGAGGTCAGATACAGGGGTTAGCCAGCAGCAGCCTGCTCTAAAGACTTGCATGCATTATCATGTGTGATGAGCATGGCTCAGCATGTGTGCCACATGGAGGAGGGAACAGGTTCTTGCCATCGCTCAGCTCACATATACACATGTCACTGGTTCTCTCTCTCTTTTTTTAAAGATTATTTATTTTTTTGGAAAGGCAGACATACAGAGAGGAAGATCCTCTGTCCAATGGCTCACTCCCCAAGTGGTCACAAGGACTGGAGCTGAGTCAGTCTGAAGCCAGGAGCCTCCTCCGGGTCTCCCACACGGGTGCAGGGTCCCAAGGCTTTGGGTCGTCCTCGACTGCTTTCCCAGACCACAAGGAGGGAGCTGGGTGGGAAGCGGGACTGCCGGGACCAGAACTGGCGACCATATGAGATCCTGGGGCATTCAAGGCGAGGACTTTAGCCGCTAGGCTATCGTGCCGGCCTGTCACCAGTTCTCTCCCCTGTAGTTCTCAAGGGTATTCCCCTGCTTAGCCTCGCTTCTTAGGCAGACCGATTTTCCAGTCTCTGTGACTGATGGAGGTTACCAGTGTGAGAGAGGGACTGGCCAAGCTATTTGTCCATCCTGGCGTTTTAGAGGGGACCATTATTGGATAGTGATGTTGGTAGGCCTTCATCTGGTAATGGATGCTCTTGGGAAGGAGTGGTTGTGAACACGTGTCTCTTAGTAAAGGAAGCAGCTGGATCTGGGGCTGCAGCGGGAGACCCAGCAGCACAGACAGCACGCGGTTGAGACAGGCCTGAGAAGCAGTGGCCACGACCTAGACCAGGCTTGGCTACAGCTATGGTTGCTGACCATTTCTGATCCTGCCAGGGAACAGCAGTAAAGTTTAAGAAGCTGGCATTCCCTGCCTGCAGCCTGTGCCAGACGTACACAGCGTGGGCAGGGCTGATTGCAAGCTCCTCTCATTGACCCTTTGAGTCAGCTGATGGAAGCAGAATCTTCCAGAAAGTGAAGTTTCCTGCCCAGAGACAGGGCTTGTCAGGGCACAACCTGCTGTTGAGCCTTGGGGCCTAGCCACTGCCCCTCCCACCTTTCCTGGGGCTCCAGTGAGTCTGTTGGTGATCAACACCACCCTAACTGCTCCAGCAGCAACTGCTGTATCACTGGGGGTGAGAGAAAGACACTCAGAAAGCATTGTCCCAAATAACAGCACTTTTTGTAATGGAACTTGATGTGGGCGTGCAGTTTGAGCAGGACTTGAGCATCTTGTTTCCCAGAGCTGGTCTGGAGAAGGAAGCAGGGCACTTCGCCGTTGGGGTTCACTCCAAAGCCTGGAGAAGCAGGTGGGGCGGGGAATACAACAGCCTGGCTGTTGGAAGGCCTTGAGTCTGAATTCTGGAGTTACTATGTAGCTGGACAAGTTGATTCATCTCCCCAAGTCTCATTGTTTTCTGTAAAACTGAGACTAAAAAGCATACCTTTGGTAATGAAAATTACAGACGCTGAGTGCTTGTTTGTTATGTTGCCAGAAAGCACACCATCCTAATAGTGCTTCTTACAGACAGACAAATACAGCCTGTTTCATCCAGACCAGAGGTGGGAGGACACGGAGCGGAGGCGAGCTTTTGCCACTCCAGCACTTGTGGCCTCTTCCTTTCTTGTGTATTGATTTTCATCCAGATTCACACACACTAAGTGTGGATCACCAGGCACAGATTAGCATGCATTCAACTTGATGGCCTTTGAAAAAATGACCGACTCATTGACTGACTTGCAGTTTGCAGCTCCATGACTTTGTCGATGATAGATGCCCTGTGCATGTGCTATTCCCTCCCTTTCCGTTCCTTATCCCAGCTGGATGCTTGGGCACCTGTGGCACTGCTGTCTGCCCTTCCTGATCTCTGTCCTGACCTTAAAGCTATTCTGGGATGACACCTTTTCCGGGGAGCCCTGTTTGTTCCTGTAGGGGAGCAGCTGGTCTGTGTTCCCTGGGATGCCCCCACTGAGTCTTCAGGGAACAGTGGGCTAAGTTGTCCACTGAGATGTCTGTATCCTCCGTGAGATGGATCGTTTCTGATCCAGCTTCTCGAGTGGCAGCATGTGGCTTCAGTACTTGACTCCATCCTATTCAAGAAGGAGGACCAAGATGCAGTTCCTGGCTGCTTGCATCAGCCTGAGCCCCACCCAGCTTGGGGAGTGAACCAGGGGATAGTAGAATGCTCTCTCGCTCTCTCTCTCTCTCTCTCTCTCTCTCTCTCTCTCCCAATTGCCTTTCAATATGTATCCAAGCCTCTAAGAGTTGAGAACACCCCTTGCTCACTGATCCCTCTGACATGAGACAGGCTGTTGTGAAGGCCTCCGCCGGACAAATCCACCCACATCTGCAGAGCAGGTGCAAGAGCACAATTCACACATGCCTTTCCTGAGCTGATCCTCCTGAAAGCCTACCAACAGGTACATCACAAGGATGCAGGCGGCACTTTCAGGGACTCTGTGATGTGCCTAAAGCAATTTTTTAAAAAAAAGATTTATGTATTTGAAAAGCAGAGCATCAGTCAGAGAAGGAGAGATAGAGATCTTGCGTCATTCCCCTAATGGTTAGAACAGCCAGAATTGGGCCAGGCTGAAGTCAGGAGCCAGGAACTCCATCTGGGTCTTCAACATGGGTGGCAGGGGACCAGGTATATGGGCCATCTTTGGCTGCTTTCCTGGGTGTATTAGCTGGATTGGAAACCTGGCACTCAGCTATGGGAGGCCAGTGTCACCAGCGGCTTCATCCCCCTGCATCCCAAAGCTGCCCTGCAGTGAGCCAGAAGTTACGCAGTGGATGAGTGTCTGGACTCAAACCAGACCTCACCAGCCTTTCCCCTTTGCCTTGGCTCACACCCGAGGTCTGTGCCAACACCACCAAGTTCTTTTATTTGCTCCCAGTCGGACTGGCTGCTAGCAGGCCACAGGACACCTCATTGCAGTTTCATGGACCAGACAAGAATCTTCCAGAAGGGATACATGTTATCAACACATGTGTAGATGACTTGGCTTTGACACTGAGAAGAAAGTAACCAGAGTAGAAAGCAAAATCATTTTACCTGCACTAAACAGCACAGGTGGTTGAGGACTCCTGTGGGTGTAGTCTGGGCTTCTGACCTCTACAGTGTGTGTGTGTGTGTGTGTGTGTGGTTTCCTTCTGCCTTCAGGCCCCAAAAGTGCATCCTAGGAAGGAAAATGCGGTGCGGACCCCTGTGCCAGCTCCTGTGGCTGTGGCCCTGTCTGTTGTGTGTTCAAGCTGTGTCCATCTGGAAAGTCCGGGATGACACCAAAACCCTCATCAAAACCATCCTCACCAGGATCAGCGACATTTCACACACGGTACAGTGAAGGGTTGGGGATGGATGGGGCAGTCTGGGGACCAAGTGGAACGGTGGCCAGGCTGCCTCTGGTTCCTGGTGGGACTGGAATCAGAGAGTGCACAAACAGCCCCCCGAAAAACCACTTCCCCGTTTGCTGAAGGCCGGCTGCCTCCTGGGAGCTGCGAGAGGCCAAAAAGAACTTCATTCCTGTCTGCTTTGGTCTCTCGGTCTCTCAGCATGCCCTCCCTCTGAAACTCTGACTTTCCAAGTAGACTGAATAAATCTTTATTGAAAGATTTTTTTTTTATTATTATTTGAAAGGCAGAGTTACAGAGATAGAGAGAGGTCTTCCATCTGCTGATTCACACCCCCAAATGGCTGCAACAGCCAGAACTGGGACAATCCTAAGCCAGGAGCCAGCAGTGACTTCCTGATCTCTCACATGGGTGCAGGAACCTAAGAACTTGAACCATCCTCCATTGCTTTCCCAGGCCATAAGCAGGGAACTGGAAGTGGAACAGCGAGGACTCGAACTCATGCCCATAAGAGATGTTGGCATCAGAGGCAGAGGCTTAGCTTACTATGCCACAGTGCCAGCTTTGCCCTGTCACTGTGTATATTTAAGGTGACCTTGGACATCTAGGAGATGCTCAGGGGGCAGAAGGAGGGATAGCTCAGCCTAACGGAGTCTTGAGCATTTCCTAGAAAGAAGTCCTTAGGTCTCCTGCTTTCAAGAGTCATTCCACCAGGTTGTCCTAAGATGTGTGGTGAGGGACAGCAGTGACACAGGCCCTTAGAGCTGGCAGAACCAGAGTCATTGGAGCTTGAAAGGGAGTGGGTCCTCCCTAGGGGTTGCCTTGACCCCTGAGGAGATGGGGTGCATGACCACCTGCGGAGGGTGGAAGAGGAAGAGGGCAGCCACGGCCGGGGTGTTTGTGGAAGAGCGGAGCTGTCTAGGAAGAGAAAGAACTCAACATGACATGAGGAGCTGTGGCTGATCCATTAGAGGCCATTCAGAAACAGGCAAAGCCAGAGAATGCTGGTCTGGAAGTGGGAGGGCAGAGTGGGTGGTAAGGGCAAAGGGTCCCCTGGGCACAGGTGGTGAGGAAGGGAAAGGATGCAGGCTCTGGGCAGGCCAAGGGCTTTGGAGCACAAAGGCTCCCGTGCTTGCTGAGCCCTTGCTGTTTCTTTCCATGCAGCATGCAGTCTCCTCCAAACAGAGGATCACCGGTTTGGACTTCATTCCTGCACTCCACCCGAACCTGAGCTTGTCCAAGATGGATCAGACGTTGGTCCTCTACAAACACATCCTCACCAGTCTGCCTTCCCGGAATGTGGTCCAAATTGCCAATGACCTGGAGAACCTCCGGGACCTTCTGCACCTGGTAGCTGCCTCCCAAGGCTGCCCCCCACCCCGGGCCAGTGATCTGGAGAGCCTGAACAGTCTGGAAAGCATCCTGGAAGCCTCCCTCTACTCCACAGAGGTGGTGGCCCTGAGCAGGCTGCAGGGATCTCTGCATGAGATGCTTCAGCAGCTGGACATTGGCCCTGGGTGCTGAGGCCCTGCAGGCTGCTCTGCCCCAGGAGCCACATCAAGGGAAGAGGCATGCTTCTAGATGTCTCTAAGAGAAGAGAACCTTGCACGGACGTTGCTTCTCCAGGACTCTGGCCATTTCTCTTTTACTCCTCCAAGCCCCTCCAAAGTCCCAAGATTCCATTTTGCTTGAAATCAAAGATTCTTTGCTCACCATGAAGACTTCCTCTCTCTCACTGCACACTCAAGTGGGACCCCAGGGAGAGATTCAGGCTGGGAGAGGAGCCTTCGGCCCATCAGTGCAAAGCCTCTGGGAATTCTGGGGGAGCGTGTCTTGAAGGCTCCATCTGGGCTAGAAGTACACAAGCAGCCAGAGTGGGGAACACACATTAATTTATTATGCCTTTGATTCCAAGTGGATTTGAAGCTAAGCAGCAGCCTTCCCAAGCTTTTGGGGGTGATCAGCCAGGGCTGAGGATAGCATGCTCCTTGAGTGAACCCCATTGTTGGTTCTGACCCAGATAAACCCATTCTCCATGACTTGAAGATTGGGGTTGTCTGAGTAACAGACCCTTACTTTTAGGCTTTTAGGTTTGCTGTTTGCTAACTGGTGTTGTGTCTGCTGGGATCAGTTTTAAGTGATGGTAATTGCCACGGTGTTGTCCTGAGTGGACTTCCAAGGGCTCAAATTAGTTCTTAAAAGCAGGTTAATTTTGGCAAGTGTTGTGTGTCAGTGTGTGCACCTGTGGGTTACGGGATGTGTTGGTGGGATGGGGAAGGGTTCAGAATGGATTTCCTAAGTAATATGTGTGTGGTCGGCTCTTTGCACAGAGTGAGGTGATCTGATCTTCTGCAGCCATTGAAGATGGTTTTCTTGAAAGATAACAAAATAACAGCTTTGTCAGGGCAACTATGAGATTTTGCAGGTGTCGTAGATAGAGGGTGCTGAGGGTGGGACTTGTTGGCTAGGGCAATGGTGAGCTCAGTGAGCAAGAGTTCTACATACCATCTTCCAATGAACAATCCATGGTTGGCCCCAGTCTGGGTTTACAGCAGTGTCCCGCTGTGACAAATCAGGGTTCTGGTCAGTCACATCCACAGCAAGGTCACATTTCTCCCACCTCACCTTTCATGGGAATTTTAATTTTGGGGGGAAAATGAACTTGGAGCAGCTGATCCCAGCCCTGGGCCAGCAGTGCTGGGTGAGGGCCAGGCCTTTAAGCCAGGCCAAGCAGGATCACCCTGCTGCTGGAGGATGAACAAGCAGGCTTGGGTTTTTCCATGATCCTGCCACTGTGATGTTGCCCTCATCCCTCTGTGGGCAGGCGCTCTGTCTAAGGCAACAAACCTGGAGCCTAGGCACCTGCTCCGTGCTCGTCCCTGACCGAGCCAGGGACGCTCACCCAAGAAACATGCAAATCCAGTCCTGCCCTAAGGGCTGGTGTGTTCTTCAGGCAAAACCCCACTTGCTGCTGTGCCAAGGCCAAGCTTCTGCACTGACATCCACAGCCCCAGCAGGTGCCCCATGGAGGGGTGTGAGCGTGGCACTCCCAGCAGTGCAGTTAACCCAGCTTGCGCTCCTTGGCATGTGCATACTTTCAGGACAAACTTTAGCATCTGTTACTGTGCAGCCACACCCTGGCATTTTTAAAAAGATTTATTTGTTTACTTGAAAAGTTGAGTTACAGAGAGGGAGGAACAGACAGCGATCTTTCATGCACTGGTTCACTCCCCAGATGGCTGCATCAGCAAGGATTGGGCCAGACCGAAGCCTGGAGCTTCTTCCAGGTCTCCCAAGCGGATGCAGAGGCCCAAGTCCTTCACACACTCCTGAAGTCAGTTCTGTGCAATGCTTTTCATTATTGTGCACACCAGAGTTTCCACAGTGTGGAATTTTCTCTTGTCGGTCATGTCAGTTGGTGCTCTGAAAGCTGCGACTTTGCAAATGAGAGCTAAGACTGTGGCAGCGGACAGGTGGCCGGAGCAGGCCTAGAGGCCAGTGCGTCCCTCAGGCCAGGTAACACCGAGGCACAACTTAGAGCAGGGTGCACAGGAGTGCTCTCTGCAAGAGAGGTGCTTTGGCGGCCCTGAAGAACATGAGCTGCCTGCAGGGAGGAGGTGGTTGTGTGCAGGTGTGAGTGCGATGGGCAAGCGACAGCGACAGGTGGAGAGGAAAGAGGTGGGAGGGAGAGGGGCATGTTGAGGGACTAAGGAGTCAGATGGCCAGGTAGTTCAGAGTCCTAGTTCTGGAGCAGAGGCTGTGTGGTGGCCGGGTGGGACCTGCTCAGGAAGCCGTGACTTAGGTCATGGGTTGAGGCGTCTGGGGCTTTCTGCTCCCAAAACCTGGCACGGCAGCCTGTGATCAAGAAAGGGAAGCTTTCCAAATGCAAGTGATTTTCTTTCTTTCTATTTTATTTTTTTGCATTATTTAAAAATGTTGAAAATAGATCTTTGAAGAAATTTACCTTGTCCCCTGGGTTTTTGATTTGTTTTGTTTTCTGGTTCCTGTTGGGGCTTGGGGAGGTGGGGCTTCAGGAGAGCTGTTTGTGTGTGACAGGGCAAGGCCAGGATGACCCCTGGGATCAGCCGTGCCCCAGGCATGACCACAGCCAGCAGCCAGTTATTCAGGTGAAAGGATTACCCCAAAGAGCGGGGTGCAGAGCTGGCCAGCCTGGACCGGCACTAAATCGCTTACTGTCCCAAAGCCAGAAGACGTTCTGTTGGCCCCAGATCAACTCCCATCCACCCTAACCCTAGCAGACAGCCAGACTGGAAGTGTGCCGCCCAGTTAGTTAGGGACCCAGTCAGGTGGAGGAAGCAGAGAAGACGCCTGCCCTCCAGTTGCAGGCACAATATGGCCGGCCTGCATCTCACAGAGCCCTCACACCTGTTAGCCTTATTCTTGGGGAGAAGACCTGTCCAAGATGCTCACTCCTCCATGGCCAAGTTCAAAGACACCCCAGCCTTGGGGATTTGGCTGGTTGCCTCGGGAATCAAGTGAGAGAACAGCTGTGGTCCCAGACCAGGGACCACAGATGCCAACTCCTCCAGAGTCCGGGACAGCTGCCCGATTCTGCCCTGTTTGCTGCCTTGGCTGGCCGTGGCTGCTGCCACTGGAGGCTCCATGGGGCCACTTCCTGCCCGCAGGCTGCCACCAACTCCCTGTGTCCTCACTTGGCAGGAAGAGGATGAAGAGCTTTCTGGGGTCCCTTGGAAAAGCTCTAATCCTTCTCAGCCCCTGCCAGCATCTCACCTGCCCCACATTTAGGCCATTGTACCTGCACAAGCGCTTCAAGGGCAGGCAGGGTGTCCTGAGCTTCTGAATGAGGGGACCATGGCGGGGGATGGACATCGGATGTGACTGCAGCACCCTCAGTACATTGCTTCACAGCTTGGGCAAGGGGCTGCCTATGTGCCAACCTGGACTCCTTTAACTGCAAGTAGCGGGACCCCATGGCAAACTGATGGCAAAGGAAAAAAATGGATGGACCTGTGTCACTGAGAAGAGATCTCAGTGAGAGAGAGCCTGATCTCTGACGGCGCTGTCCTCTGCACCATCCCTTCCTCCAGTGGCCAACCTTCCCCTCAAAGTCTCTGTGGTAGCAACCCCAGCCTCCACCATCCCCAGGTCTGCCGCGATGCCTGCAGTTATGAAAATGCCTGGGAGGATGGTTAGCTGGGCTCTTACTGCCAGGTCTGGGGGAGCAAGGGCATTACCATCTGGTGCCAAGGGAAATGTACCCGGGTACAGAAAGCGAAGAGAAAACACACAGCCCGGTTTCTGCATCTCTTACTCCCTGGAGTGATGTTTAGGATAGCTTGGAAGTTGTGGGTCCTCTCTCTCTCCAGGGAGCCTCTTCTACAGCCAGCCTCTCCAACTGGCAAGTTCCACCTGCCGCTCTAGCCCCCGTCTGCCCTGCCCTCACTGTGCACCTGCCGTCAGTTCCTAAGAAGACAGGCAACTCTTCCTTCTGTGTACAACCTGGCTTCAGTCCAGCATCTGGAGTGCCTTCCTAACTGGTTCTGAAAGCTCCCGGATATGTCCCTTCTCTTCATGGCAGAACTTCTGAGCTAGGAGAGCAGGGCTCCCACCCTGCTGCATGTCCTGAGTGGGGCCAGCTGTGGAGAAGCAGAGATTTGAGCTGTGTACCATGCCCAGGGTTATACAACTGGCATGCGTTAGAGTGGGGAAGCCAGGCCCAGCTGTCAGTCCAAACACTCTGAACATATCTCTAGGGAATCCCACGCACGCCAGCCTGAGCCTGGTAAGTCGACGCGGCAGAAGCATACTAGGGGTTCCCAGCATGGGATTCCCTCACACTCACCCACACTCTCCCAGGCCCGACCTTTCTCTCCTGTATTTTAAAGTTGTGTGTATTTGGGTCTGGTGTGGTAGCTTAGCATCTAAAGTCCTCTTCTTGCATGCACCAGGATTCAGTATTGGTACCAATTCATATTCTAGTGGCCGCACTTCCCATCCAGCTCCTTGCCTGTGGCCTGAGAAAGCAGTCGAGGATAACCCAAGGCCTTGGGACCCTGCACCTGCATGGCAGACCCAGAAGAAGCTCCTGGCTTCGAATCAGCTCAGCTCTGGCCTTTGTGGCCACTTGGGGAGTGAATCAGCAGGTGGAAGATCTTTGTCTTTCTGTCTCTCCTCCTCTCTGTATATCTAACTTTCCCATAAAAATAAATCTTTAAAAAAAAAAAAAGATGTGTGTATTTGTTTGGAAGGAAGCGTGATTGAGAAGGGAGGGAGGGACGGAGGGAGGGAGGGAAGGAGGGAGGGAAGGAGAATGAGAAGAGACTCTTCTGACTTTGAGTGGCTCGGGTAGTGTTCCACTGCGTGGATTATTAAGCACTCAGCACAGCCCAGGCATCTTGCCCACAGCATCTCAGCAAATCCTGCAAGGTGAATATTCACAATAAAGAGATGAAGGCTTAGTGGACTTCACTCTATGGCCTAGAATAGCCCTATTGGCACCAAGACCGACACCATGGCCCAGCACAGTCAGCTCCTGAGCCAAGGCCTCTGATTCTGTCCTGGATGTAACAGCCAAGGAGGAGAGGTCTTTACAGCTCTTCTGGCCTGGGAATCCCTGGAGGTGACACCCACCGAGGAAGAGGGTGAGGTGGCACCATCCAGGGGTACGGAGCTGAGCTGGTCTTCACCCTTCAGGGACCTAGAAAGGTGCAGGTGCCAGGATCCAGCCCAGTCACATCCCTGACCAACGTGGGCTATATCTCTGGTGTGCCACCCTGAACACTGAAGCCACCCGCTTCAGGGTGATGCCCAGGACCTCTGAGGAGGTGACTCCTGGGCTCACGGTGGAGAGCATTTTCTTCAGATTCCAGGTCTTCTCTCCATTCTCCAGGTTTCTCTTGGGCTCCCTTGAGGCAGCAGCTCACACCTGGCCTGGCAGCTGGCAGTGCACAGCAACGTGGAACCTCCAAAATTGGGGCGTGGCTGAGCAGGTAGAGAAGCAGTCAGGCCAGCCTGGCAGCAGGGAGAGCCCTAATGGAGTGAGACTGAGTACTGCAGGCCTTGACCTTCAGGACTGGGGTCTAGGGCCATCCCTGAGGGCATGCCACTCGTGGCCCCCAGGAACTCAATGTCCCATACTGAGGATGGTGGAAATGTGGAGACAAAGTTCTGTGCCCAGCCCACAGCCAGCCGAAACTGTGTCCCACCTCAGGCAGCTCCCGCAGCCCCTCCTGGCTTCATGTTGTCATCTGCACAGTGGGTGGGTCTTTAGGAAGGTGCGGTGAGAAAGCCCGTGGGGAGCTGGTAGCCCAGTGTCCATAGAGCACAAATGATGACAGTGTCATTACTTTCTGAAATGTATTTGAAAGACAGAGTGTCAAAGAGAGAAGACAGAGAGACAGAGATCCTTCCACAGAATACTCTTATTTTGAAGAATTCAGAGAGAAGGAAATATACAGACACAGAGAGAGAGCTTTCTATCTGTTGATTTGCACCTCAAACGCCTGTAACAGCCAGGGCTGGGTTGGACAGAAGCCCGGAGCCCGTGAGTCAGCGGAAGCTTCCCCGAAAGCCTGTGGGAAAGCAGGGTGCAATCCCTGGCCCTTGCCGTTGGCCTGGCTTAGTCCCAGCTACTGCGACCACTGATGAGTGAGGCCTTGGATGCAGGAACTCCATCACTCTGCCTTTCGAATACTGTATCCTTCTAAAAGGGAAAAGTTCATTTTGATGCAAAACATTTTGAAATTCATGCATATGAAGAAATTACAAAAAGTTCATGGAAAATGTGTATTACAAAAGAACTATTCATGGATTTTACAAAAATTGTATCTAAGTAAACTTCTCTTTTAATTGTATGTTCCCATGGATAAGACTGGCAGAACATTGATAACTGGTAAAGTTGGCTGGCAGGTATGCCAAAGTCTGTGGTTTCTTTTTCTTTATTTTTTTTTTCCTTAGGGTTTATTTATTTACTTTAAAGGTGGAATTACAGAGAAAAGGGGAGAGAAAGAGATATTCCATATGTCATCTCACTCATCAAATAGCCACGCGGCCAGGGCTGGACCAAGCTGAAGCTGGGAACCTGGAACTCCGCCTGGATCTCCCACAGGGACCATTCTCAGCTACTCTTCCAGGCACTTTAGCAGGGAGCTGGATGGCAACTGGAGCAACCTGCCCGTACTAGATGCCTTTGAGGCAGGTGGTGACTTAACCCCAGGGTCCTCTGGTTTGAGGTAAAGTTCCTAGAAGAAACACTTGGGGAAAGACACTTGGGAAAGGAAGGAGGGGTGATGGGACGATGCTAAGGAGCCAAGCTGTGCTTGATTTGCTTTGATTCCAAGGCCTGGCAGATGGCCCTCTGGGCCTGGGGAGTTGGGGGTAGTTTTGGGGAGGGACTGTCGGTGTGGGTGTGAAACAGTGAACTCAAACAGAGATTTAGCAAATCAAACAAGGAGCCAGCCAGTTGCAGGATGCCAGAAATGAATGAAGCTCAGAGGAAGAAGCCCTCGGCTGTCAGGGCCTGGAACTCAGCTTCCAGACCCGGGCAGAAAGTTGCACCCTTCCCGGAGGAAGGCAGTCTGCCCCCACGTAACACTGAGGACAGGAGATCTTGGGAAGGGAAAGCAGTTCCCTGTCTCTCTTATGGTAAACTGAGGCACTGTCTCATTCATTTGTTTCAAGACCTTGACCCTGAGGAGCTGCCTGCCACCTGGGGCAGGTCATTGTGGCCACTCGGGGAGTGAATCAGCAGACCGAAGATCTTCCCGTCTGTCTGTCTTTTTCTCTCTCTCTCTGTAAATCTGCCTTTCCAATAAAAATAAACAGATCTTTAAAAAAAAAAAGTTTTGGAACAAAAGGACCCAGTGCAATGGCTCTGTTGGCTAACCCTCCCCCTACAAGCACCGGGACCCAACACGGCAACTCCCAGGAGTGAGAAGCCTGCTTTACCACCACCCCAGCAAAATCCCAGGGCTGACTC